ATAAAATTAATCTTGATATTTTACTACTAGTGGATATTTGTTTAGAAGTTTTAAATTTTGATTATGAATGCTTCTTATCAATTTTAGTGATATTCATGTTAAATTTTATTCACTTTTAACATGATTTAAAAAATGAGATTAAATTATTAGTGTATTAAGAAAAAAATTAATTTTAATTATTAAGAATTATTTACGTTATACTAGAAACTTGAAGTCATCTTTTATTATTCTTAGTGTTTCAAGTAATGTAACCAAGAAGAATTTTCAGATCTTTTCAATTTTTACAAATGTAAAGAAATATAAAAACTCGTTTATAATTTGTATTTTTTTATCATTTTTTACTGATTTGCATGCTAATGTGTTTTATAGTTATGCTTTTTATTTGATATTAAAATATTTTTACATTATCTTATATATTTAATAATGTTAAAAACTAATCAATCCGACTGAACTACACTGATTCGATTTAAGTTAGATTGATTTGGTTATCATATAGTAGTAGATTGGATTGATTTAAAATTTTTAGTAACCAATTAAATTAAATTAATTTAAAAAATATTAAAATCTGAACCAAACTATACCGTAAACACCCCTACCGATAACAGTGGAAAATGTAACACTTTAGAACCGTGACCAATTTCTGCTCAATACCGGTCAAGATTTCTATAGTTGATCTTGTTAGGGATGAGCATTGAATACTGATATGCTAATTTTTTGCAAGTATTTTACTCATTTAAGTATTTTATTTGAACAGTAAAAAATTAGATAAGTAATAGGTATAAAAGTAGATATCAAGTAACAAGTAAAAAGGTATAGAATTATTTATCTAATCGGTTTTAATTGTTTTATATAAATGACATGTTACATGTATTTATATAATTAAAATTTTATATATATTTATTATACTTAATATTTATATAATAATAATTTTGAAAAGTAAAAATAATAAAATACAGAGGTAAAAATAAAAAATTACACAGGCAATCTATAAATGACAAATCATAAATCAAATACATATCACATACAAATAACAACTTTTTCCTTTTCTTACACTCTTT